GTGCCGGGGGGAGAGAGAGGTTCGGCGGCCGCGGCCGCCGCCGCCATTACTAAGCTGAGGACACCGGGGAGGGAGGGAAATGGGGCCAGGCCGGGCGCTCTGAGGGGGGCTGCGGTCCGAAAAGGCACGGCCGTCCCCGGCGCCGAGCCAGAGTTCCGGGAATGCTGCTGTTCTTGCCGTGGAAGCGCGGGCGAGCGAGGTAGGGAGACCGGAGCCGCTCTTCCTCCTCCGCGGCCGCCGCCGCCATTACTAAGCTGAGGACACCGGGGAGGGAGGGAAATGGGGCCAGGCCGGGCGCTCTGAGGGGGGCTGCGGTCCGAAAAGGCACGGCCGTCCCCGGCGCCGAGCCAGAGTTCCGGGAATGCTGCTGTTCTTGCCGTGGAAGCGCGGGCGAGCGAGGTAGGGAGACCGGAGCCGCTCTTCCTCCTCAACTCTCTCTCTCTCTCCCCCTCCAGGGTCAACCGTGGCCTTTTCTCCCTCCACAACTACACCCAAGCCCATCAGCTGCAGCACCATTGGGGTTCGCTGTGTGTGTGTGTGGGGGGGGGTAAGGTGGCGGCGGCGCTGCAGCAGCAGCCCGGGCGTTTTTCCTCCTTTTGGCGGCGGCCAGTTCGGAGGAGAGAGCCGGAGCCGTCGTCCGTAGGAGCTGCTGAATGAGAGCGAGCGAAGCAGCTCGGAGCTCCCCCTTCCTTCCTTCCTTCCTTGTTCGAGCCCGCTCCATACCTACACACTCCGGGAAGCGCGGTGGGAGGGAGAAGGAGGGAAGGTAGGACGCCTGGCTTGTTGTGGTCCCAGACAGGTGATGATGATGATGGCGAAGGCCTGAGCCAGCGGGGAGGGTCAAAGCCTGCTCGACCAGACTCTGGTGGCGGCGGGTGCCAACCGCTCACGGCGCAACCAGCGCAAAGTAGAGGACGGTGGGGGGAGGAGAGAGAGAGAAGAAGGAAGGGGGCAGGCCACCTTCTTTTCCCCCATTCCTTTCTCTTCCGTCCCTGTTCTCTTCCCCCCATTTTTTGTGCCTAGCGATCTCAAACGTTAAATTCTTTTTCTTTCTCTCCACCCACCCCCCTCTCTGTTCTCCTTTGACGCCTCCCGAAATCCCGCCGTAGCAAACTTTACTCTCTCAAGATATGAGTGGCCTACTCGTGCCTCTTGAAACCCGCCTCCCCTTTCCCACCTCAATACTGTATGGAAGGGTGTGATGTCTTTTGCAACACTAGGTTAGGCGGATTGCGTTGGTTATTATAATTCTTCATGGGTTTTTCTCGTCTTTGTAGACCTTTAATTTCTTCTGCCGAGGAAAAGCACTAGGTGGGAGTCTGGAACCTTCATTTTGTCATGGGGGGTGATGCATAATAAGGGCAGGGGGATGGTAGGAAGCTGCCTGCCTGCTAATGGCTTAAATTTTTTATGGAGGCTACTACAGTATAAAGAAAAGGGTGTGGAAACCTTCCCATATGTCCTCTCTTGTATGTGAGGCTTTCAACACCTCCTGTGTTAAGGATTTGCCTGAAAAGTAGGAGGAAGATGTTCAAAATCTAGACTAAAATAGGCCAGTGGGTGGGCATGCAAGTTTTGGTTTTCATAGATAATTACTGCATTTTCTTTTTACAGTGCTTGGCAGAGATTTTTTTTAGTCTGCACTGCATAGTAAGGCGATTCAGTATATCTAAACAGTTGTGAATCAATTGCATGTTCATTTCACCTGTATTTATAAGGCTATAATTGAAAAGAATAATACTATTCATATTGGTTGTTGTTAATATAATAATAATAATAATAATAATAATAATAGTGTTATATCAAGTCAGTAGTGATTAATGGTGACCCTTTTCAGAGTTTTCTTGGTGGGGAGTATTCAAGACTGGTTTACCATTCCTGTCTTCTGGGGGCATCCTGGAACTATGCAGCTTCCCCAAAGCTGCACAGGCTACTTCTTCTGGGGTAGTGTGGTACTGAACTCCAAACATCTGACTCTGCAGTCAGCTATATAATATACTGGCCCTTATTATTTTTTTAAAAAATGGACAAAGAGTTGAGGCTCATGTGTCTTAACTCTGTAGTGCTTTCTATTTCTACATTTATTTCAGAACATTAGTGACTATGCCTTATAGATTTTCAGTTATGTACCCAATTTTTTTTAATGTAATATAAGCTATTGGTAATAATCAGAACATTAACACAGTGTTATAAGTTCACAGTAATAATACTTGGGGTCTTAGGATACAGTACACAATTCAGTTTAGCATTATACACTAATATTTGATCACAGAGGCTGTTATAATGGTACATCAGTTACATCACAAGCCTAAGCATGATTGATTGGAAGTCTCACTGAGTTAAATGGAGCTAACCCAGTAGTAAGTCCCTGGGATTGCAGCCACACAGTATTTATTGATAAGTCCCACTTAGGGCTAACATCCAAGCAAATATGAATAGAGTTACATCTTAACTCTTGTGTATTTTATTACCAAGTTCCACAGAAAAGTAAATACTTCTAACCTTAATGTCAAGATTTACTAGGTATTTCTTGTAAAAATTAGCTGGATAACTTGAAAAATATTTTTGTGTCATCAAAAATGCACTTGTATTTAAAGCGCAATATAGATAATTGGCCTCTGATCATTGATTGATTGCTTATGTAAGATAGTATTTGTGGGTTTTTTAAAAAATACAACTCTTTCGTTCTGTGAATTTCAGTAGTGAACATACAGTTTTTCAGTTTATTTAATGTATTTTTAAAAACTTTCGCAATCTCTTGGGTGTGTTATTTCTCATACTTTCATACCTTTTACTTTATATTTGAGCTACATTTCTTCTTACTCATTTTCTGTTCACTGTTAATATACTCAGCAGTTCATAAGCCACTTGCTTCAATTTAACTAATACATTATGTTAAAGAGTCACTATTATAATTTCTAGAGTAATTCTTTCCTAATACTTTGCTAATAGTGTGTATTACTTTCTAACAAATTCTTTAAGTCAATGTTCACTTAAGATTTTACTTCATCATCATATGAATGTATCAAATGGATCCTTAAAATGTTCTGACATGCTAGTGATCAGTTGATCATGTGATTTCTGCAGTTCATGGAACAGTGACATTAATAAGGGTTAGTGAGCTAGTGAAATAGGACTTGGAATCTTGATATCTTAAGTCCTAAATCAGGCAGACTGAATGGACAGGTATGGTAAAATGTACTTAAATCAAAGTTTGTCAGTGTTATATGAGACAAATAGCTTTTGCAGCTTTGTAAGAGCTCTTGCTTAGTGTCCAAAATGTCAAACTAAAGTTTATAAATTGAAAATATTCTACTTATATTCTTGTTATATTTGGCAGCATATAACCCCCCCCCCCGCCCCCCGATGTGCACTATAATCAGGGAGTTCTTTTCTTTCTGGGAGGTCTGGCTTTTGTTATCTGAAATAATGTTATGTAGGAAAAAACCATGCCAAAATAACTGAATTGAAAATATGTGTTGTTTAAGAAATTAATAGAAAATATTTAGGAGAAAAAAGATTAATATATAATTTTAAAAACTTGAATTGCATATAACTAGTGGCTGTTGTAAGCACATTCAAGAACTCACATTTATGTCTATTTAAAATGTAGCACATATATGGAAAGCTTTTTGTGAAGAGGTGGTTTATGCTTCACGTTACAGACTCTGTTATGAAAAGTACCTGAGTTAAAACGATAAATGTTTTCACAGTACTGTTAATAGGGAATGTACATAGAGTTAAGTGAGTGCATTTCCCTGCATCAGAAGTGGAAGCAGTGACTATGAAACTATTAAGCCTTGTCTGTCACAGATGAACTCTAAAAATATTATGAAGTATAGGAATTGAAACATTCAGTTTGCAACCACTTAGGGTCATGCAAGTCATATTGTCTTATCTTTCCAGGGCCTACTGAATGACACATGTCTAGTCAGTCAGAACTCAGGAGAAACCAGAGTTGGTGGCTCACTTTGCTGAGTTTTGGTTAAAACCAAAAGCCTTGGAGTTTTCCAGTTTTCTCCAATTTTGTGAAATAAAATGAACTAGTGTATACTAGATTTTGGAGGGGATAGGGTAGTGGAGGAAGGTCCAAGCATAATTTCCTGTTTTTTTGTACGTGTTTTCTTTGTAAGACTTCAAGTATGGCAAGTCAGCCATTCATACCTGGTTCAAAATAGGATTCTTTTCTCCTTGGTTTATTTATTTAAAGTACTTTACCCCATCTTTCTTGAAAGAACTCAAGGTGGCTCAGGTTATCATCAAAGCAAGACAAATATGGGAAAGGAAAGAGGAGCTTGCTTTCTTTATGCTGAGCATTCAGAGAGGTGGAAATCAAGCAACAAACCTGTTACTGAATTGCAGCATTAATGAAGTGGCAACCATTTTTTGACCTGCCTTGTTAACAGCAGCATATGTATTTATTTGGTCACAGAAATGCTCATGGATTGCTGCAGTTAGCTATTATTACAAGAAATCATGTCAAAATTTAAAACAGGACTTAATTCCGTTTGTTCTACAAATACAACCTGCAGATGTTGTCATAAACTGTCTGTTTAGATAGGTTTACACAGTTTTCCTTTGTAAGCTAGATGTTGGAAATATCTAACAACTCAAATTTAAACAATTCTTCACAGCACAATCATAGGTCCAGAGGATTTATTAGCCCTCCGATGCAAGCTTTTAGGTAGCATGAAGGGAGGGGTAAATAGTTTGTCACAGAAGCACTGAAATCTAGAAATACATTTTTGGATCCTAACTAATGTGA